AAGAAATAAATAGTTTCTGAGAAAAATTAATTTAATTGCTTCTACCTTCTACCTTGTGGGCAAAACCTTGTAATGAGATTAACATGATACCAAGTCCCCCCCTCAGATGTTTAAAGTACAAGCTTATCTACTTAAGACTGCAACTATAAACACCTTTTGGTGTGCCTCAAAATTTGTATCCAATCCAATCATTAGAGACATAAGTATTTCTATGAAGCAGAAATTTTAGGGGTTAATGTATCAGATGGCAAAACTGCTCTACAAAGGAAAAAAAGGAAATATGAAGGTAAAGAAAGCAAGCATGGGAAGAGCATCTAAAGCAATAAAATATTGATATAGTTAGCAATAGGTAGTGGAGGGGGTAAGGACAGAAGATGAGCTAAAACAATATGAAATTTCCACATTCTTTACAGTCATCTAGAGAGCTTTGACACCAGCTCAATTTGCCATATGTCAAAGAGGTCAATGGATAAAGGCCCATGTCAACAGCCACGACATTAGGATTCAACTTTATTTTTCTCTAATCCAGTTCACAGTGCTATTGCCCTCTGAACTCATGATTGTATGTGATACTATAAAAACTGCATTAGTCATCATCATTATCACTATAATGATAAACTATATTCTCCAAAATTTCCTAAGTGCTTTCTCTGAGAATTTTGGTCAGCTAGCATTCTTTCCCTGTCTTCCATTCTGAAAGCGCTCTCAACATAATGGAATATTTCTTCCTGTTTGTGCAAACATTTCATGCTAGGCATGGCCACGTTGCTGGGTTCATTCCCATTAGATAAGATAGTCTTCTCATGTCTAACAGGCATGGTCAAGCCCCCCCTTTGACTGTGGTGGTTCTATAAAAGAAAACTTTACATTTAGGACAGTAGAAAATTCCTACACTGGAACTGTAAAGTAGTATTTACTACATGGCCAGAGATCAGGGTTATTTCATTAATTTACAGACAGTCAATGACTGTGCTTAGAGAGGACACAGCTTTTCCACTCCTTTTAAAAGAAACAAAGGGTAATGGAGAAATACAGAGATAGAAAATTTCAGCAAGGTCTTGACTTGTTATGATCCTGCTGCCCTAGTCTCCCAATTAGCTAGGATTACAGATGCATTCAACTAATGCCCATTTTGTGTTCATGTGTTCAGGTGAGCCTGGGAACCAATACTGGGTGCTCCCATGAAGCCTTATCTGTGTATTGCCATGGCTGGGCCCAATGGGACACAGCTTTTTGAAAAGGCAAAAATTCTACTTTAAACTTCCTTTTAAATATTATCCTGCTGTTCCACTCTTCAGTGCTTAATCATACACTACCTTCATAGAGTGGTTGCACTATACACTGTCAGCACCATGACTGTACGGCTTTGTCTCTTGATAAGCTAAAAAATGCCCTACAATCCTTAATAATGAGACTTTTCCACAAAAACGAACTTCACTGCTAAGAATACAGCTGGGGGATTCATGGCTTAATTTACAACCTTTTAGCTAAACCACTAAGATAACCTATGTTCTAAAGACAGCAGAATTCTTTATAATGTTAGCACCATGATAGAACTCAGCTGTGGTGCAGGCCACCATACTAGTCTTTTTACTAGAGGCTTCAGAAGGTAGTATCCAGTATCTTGAAATAGCTCAGATGTATTATACAAAGCCGTCTCATGAATTCTACTATTCTGTTCTATGCTTGCTTAGAGAAGTATTCCATTTGAATGCCCTCTATAACTAGAGTGAGAATTTCTTGTAAACTGGGGCCACACCTGACTTATCCTTGAATTCCCAACACCTAGCATCAAAGCTTACTCATTAGTGGGTCTCAGGCAATGTACGCTGAATTGAATGGAATTCAACATAAAGCTGCTTCTGTAACAGTAACTGTTGAATATAAATGGCCTCGCTTCTTTCTCAAATGCCAGAGACACTTTTACTACTAACTGTTAAGTTCACCTCTCAAAGGAGGTGCCAAGACTCACATGAGGGTAGTACGGGCAGTCTACTTGCTGCAGGCATTTCTGGCTGTGTGTACAAAATTCAAGACGCTTACTGGTGGAAGTCAGGGGGATCTTCTACTCAACATAGGGATATAATTTATTTGCCTCATTAGGGAGCCTGTCAGGGTATGAGGCACACCTGGTATAAAAGAATCTTTTGCTAGGGTCAGCAGGTGGCATAATCGCTAAGGCACTGGACTCCCACCTAACCAACATGGTTCGATTCCCAGACCTGGCGGCTGGCTTGCTTGCTCGCTCTCTCTCTCTCTCTCTCTCTGGTGAAAGCTATGGCCTCTAGCAATGAAAAATAATAATAATAAAAATAATTTTAAAAAATAATCTTTTGCTTCTATTTTTTCTTCTCTTTTTAAAGATTTTACATTTAATTATTGTACATCTTTATTTCATACAATGTTTTTCCAAAGCATACATACATGCATTGCCTGTCAATCAAGTCAAACATAATGCCATACACATCATCCTCACAAGATCACTTTCCATTCTTAAGTACCCACTTCATATATACCAAATGTTTGTACTTTATACCTCTTTTTAAAACGAGGCCAATGCCTTAGCAAGGAATATCAACCAAAGTAAGAAGTTACACAGGATGTCAGCTTGTTGGTCACTACCATAAAAACAAATATATTTTGGGAAAGTAAGAAGATACTTTGTCCTTCATTGCAGAAGCTGGCCTCTGCCTTTTTTTGAAGGCCTAATAGGGCCTTATGTAAACAGATCTGACTTAATTGGAATAGCTGTTGTGGCTGTAATGTTTCAGTTGGCCTTTATGCATTCATACACGTTACTTTGCTTTTGCATTTTCTCACAAGGAAAAAAAGGAGGCAGAGCTGCTGAGTGCCCACAACATTTTACCTCATTTGCAACTCTCAAAATCCCAGAGTCTGAGAAATGCTTTAGCCTTTCAGACATCAGATGTAAAGAGAGATGTTCATCAGTAGGCGGTTCAACAAATGTTTGTTGATTCAATGAGGATAGGAATAAATGAATGAATGACTGAATGAATGAAAATGATTATGAAATTTTTCCAGCTTGTTCTAGCACATCAGCATGCCAAGCTATATAGCACAGACACTAAAACTGCTCCTATCAGGGACATATCCTACAAATAATACTCATGCTGAACCCCTGGCAATATTCTATGTTGCTTAAGTAAAAAGAGCTGTAATTCCAGAACTCCATATTTTAAACGAAGTTTGGAATCTGCTGTTTGCATGGAAAGAAAATGGTCTGTTTATCCCTCACTGCCTAGGAGCGTCTCTCCATTTATTGGTCTATATAAAATCACCTACAGCTGGTGTCTAATTATTTTTTAAAAAAAGAAAAAAATGGTATGTTTGAAGGTTTTGATTTCTGAGAGTTTTCTCCATCTTCAGAGCATGAAGCTGGGTTTAAGTCATTTAACATGAGCTCTGTCACCCCTAAATAAGAAAAAAAAAACCATTTAGGAGCACTCTCAAATAAGGAAAATAGAGGAGCAAGTTAAAGATCCTCCCCAGACAAATTCTCTATTACAAAAAGGCACCAAACCACTTCTTACTGCAACATTTTTATTTGGCTTCATGTGGATTGCAACTCGAGCCATTCTGGGAGGAATGTGTTTTATCAATCTGTTTTTACCCATGTTCAACTGATAGTAAGGTATAATCAAGCCACTTTTTCATGCTACAAGTAGATACCAGGCTGGAGAGAGTCAGTCAGAGGTCTACTATAACAATTAAAGAAGGGAATGAGAAGGTTTTAGTTGGGCTAACATTACTGTGTCCAGTTCCAGCCCAGAAGGCCTGCAGAAGCAGGGAGTTCAGGGTGATTTTGATCATCTCACTCTACATTGATTGGCTTTGCATACCAAGAACCAATGTAGCTTATGCTACTAACAGTTCTGTTACTTTTTGGACTGACACTGACCTGTAACATGAAGCTCCTCTTTTACACTTCTAATCACTGAAGGTTTTCCTACTGTAATCATTTCAGATCCCCATGTCTGCATGATATCAACCACTGGAGTCTATCAAGTCAATAGACAAAAAAAAAAAATCATGACATTCCAATTCTGTGGCTAAACTGTGTTGGCAAATTTGATCGAATAGCTCAAATTACATATTATAGGCAGGTAGTCTTAGCTTAGATCATTTCCTGAAATACCGCCTTGGAGGAGCTACACAAATATTAATAGTTGGTATCAATATGACAGAAACATGATTTTGCTTAGCAAAATGAGCTAGTGTTGGCAGGGATATGATATGTTTAATTAACCTATTCGTCAAAATCTGCCAGAAGTTTTATTTTTCAGACTAACTTTTCATTTTAAAGACTATTAAAAAATGTTTAAAAGCTATGGAGAATGCAACAGAGGGAAATAACTTCTTGTTCCCACAGGAAGTTTACGATTTGATAGGTAAAATAAAGACACACTCATAAGACGATTGTGAAGTTTTATAAGTGTGCAGAGACGGAAGGATGTAAAAACAACATCCAAGGAATTCTCTTTGGTTCAAATATACTGCTGGACAGACAGGGCTAGAAGCAACATAGAGATTAAGCAGCACTATAATTAAAAGAAAGGGTAAGGTTTGAAAGAGGCAAATTGGGATTATCAACTAAAAAAAAATCTGCAAACAGCCCACAGGGAAATTTCTAAGGTTAAAGCTGAAATGTTGGTGTGGAAATTCCTGGTGTGAAAATCATAGGCTAAATACAAAATAAAACCAATTTTTTTCCTTTTAAAATTCCATATGGAGCATATGAGATACTCCATATGGATTCCTAAAGGTCACATAGAACACTATTAAGGAATCTACTTACCACCTTCCTTGGATAACGAAGTTTTTACTATACTTTTTATGCAGAAGAAGAAATTAAGTGATGAACCTGTAAGGAGGGGTTTAATATGCTTTATCTAATATAATTCTCCACATAGGGGTTTTATTTCATGGTAGATATTGAAGCTCCTTCTAAAATTAGGTTATAATATAAATTTAGTTCTTACCCTGGCACTTCTTCTTCTTACATTCTTTAATACTATCAGGAGAATCTCAGGGAAGAGACTGATAAATACTAGGAGAATTATGGCCAACCATGTAGATACAGAAGACAGCATGTGGGCAAATACGAAATACATTCTCTGTTGTTTGAGAAAAGGCCTGAAGTAGAAAGAAAATACATAATGGAAAATAAAATTTGTCAGTTCCAGTCAAATGAAAACAGAATTTAATTTAAACTACCTTTGATTTTTAAAATGAATTATCTTTACACACATTAATAAATATATTTTTCTCTATGTCCCCAAAACAGTAAACAAATTTCATTCACCAAATGTTTGGAAAGAAAGGAATGATTAACGAAGGGAGCAATGGTAATAAAATGTATCTGATTTAAAAACAATCAGGCAATCAACTCTACAGCAGCCAACAGGTGAATATTTACGTGCATTAGAAAATGCTGGAGTTCAAAGATAATGAAGAAAATGATGATTCATTTTTATCCTAATAAGCACTTTATTTCCTCACTTGTTTTATTAATATGAGGATGGATTTGCATTCTACATTTAGAAATTTACATGTCTTTTTTATAACTACCCGTGAGCCCTATGGAAATATAAGAAAAGACTACAGAGATGATCATTTCTCTCAAATGGCAGGAATCTAATAATTTCATCCACAAATAAATATTAAGTAATAGTGGGTGTCAAGTACATTGATAGGCAGAACACTGCTAACAGGATGTTAACCCTGGAATCCAGAAATTCCGAAGACTCCTTATTATGAAGTCAGATTTCATTCAAAGCCATGCACTAAGCTGTTAAGCCATGGGGAAATACAACTAGTTTTCTGTCCATTGTCTGAACCAGAGAGCTTCACTAGGCTAACTTACTGTTGCTTTAAGCCAAGGGGGAGGAAGTGGCTGTTCAAGATAAGGACACACACCCAAATCTCTGAGATCAAGAGCTTTAGGTAGGGGCTGGCAGGTGGCGTGGTGGTAAAAGGCACTGGACTCCCACATGACCAACAACGGTTCAAGACCAGGACCTGGTGGCTCGCTTTCTCATTTTCCCTCTCTCCCTCTCATCAAACTGGAAAGTAATAATAATAAGAAATAAAGCTAAAGCTAAATAAAAAATTTTAAAAAGAGCTTTAGGTAAACTGAATGTATAAAAAAACCCTCATAAATTAATAAAGATAATATTAACATAGGAAAAAACAGCATTAGGTGGATAATGATTCAGTCCCATTTATTATATCATGTATCATGTTTGCTGAAGAGAAACTGGTTTCAAATGTAAAAATTAATGCTTCCATACCCATATGCTAAAATCTAGCTTATGGCTTTACATATATTAGGACTAGATTGAAGAATACAAGAGAGCAGAACAGTGAGGTGGAGAAACTCATGAGACCTTTCTATAATAGTCTACCATACAGAAAAAAAACTTGTGCATAGTTCAACCCCACTCTAATTCTTAAGAGGACCTTGAGTCATTTTCTAAGCAGTTAACCGACCTGTAACAAGGATCCAGGAGACAACTGACAAATAGTCACAGAGTATTCCTTTGTACCTTACCCACATAACTCTGATTAACATCTTTATATTTTTTTACTTTTATGGCATCTATGGAGCTTTGCAGAAAGACAATTAAAAAAAAAGGGGACCAGCAGTTAGCGTAATGGCTATGTCACTGGACTGTCATGTAGCCAACCAAGGTTCAAGTCCCAGACCCGATGGCTTAAACTCACGCCGGGCACGTGTGCGTGCGTGCGTGCCCAAGACCCAGAGAGGAGAATGGAGGAGAAGGGATTGCGTTGTGGCCAGCCCCCATCAGGGGTGATTTCTCGCTTTCTATCTCTGTCTGTCTCTGTCTTTCTGGCGAGTGCATGGTGCCCTATAGCAAAAACATCTTCGAAACAAAAAAAAACAAAAAACAAAAACAAAAACAAAAAATCTATCAGGCTAGCAGTGGCATGGTGATTAAGGGAGCTGGATCCCACAGGCCTACTGCGCAGTTTGAGTCCTGGACCCGGCGGCTTGAAAAACACACTGGGTGCCCATGTGTGTACATGCCCATGCTTTCTCACTCTCTCTTACTTTCTCTCTCTCTCTCTCCCTGCCAAGCACATGAGCCCTAATAGCAAAATAATAAAAAAAAAACAAAACAAAACAAAACTATTATTCCTGCATTGGGTTTGGAGCTCATAAATAATCATTCTTACTATCCAGCCTAAAAGGGAGGTGTGTCTCAATACCTCAGGGTAGAACATGTCCAGAGACAGTGGTGACTAAGATTCAGCTTAAGTTTCACATGGGTTCTAGTTGCATTTTACTTGTTTCTTTATAATAAAAGTCTATATTCATATAGTAGGCTCCACTCAGCTCTACCTAAAGATAGCACTTCAGGCAACAAAATGTTAAGATTCATTTTTTAAAATTTTGTATCACTATAAACAGATAGGTGTGACAATGTCTTTATTATTTATCATTAATTGATAAAGAATAGTCTATGGAAAGGGTCAGAATATTCTATGGAAAAGGTTAGAAATTTTACTAATTTTATTCTTATGGATGTTGTGCATAATTAGTTCAGAAGCTGATCACACAGCTTTATAGACAGAATTAAGAGTATTCTGGGCAGATATATAATCGTATGCTGCACTTAGTTAATCAACTTCTGATCCACTTATATATTATTAAAGAAAATAAATACTTCAGCTTCATTGCTCTTAATCATTATCAATAGCGGTTTCACATATATACACTTTGGAGCTGATACTTCTTTAAGTGATTTAGCTGATCACACAGCTTTATAGACAGAATTAAGAGTATTCTGGGCAGATATATAATCGTATGCTGCACTTAGTTAATCAACTTCTGATCCACTTATATATTATTAAAGAAAATAAATACTTCAGCTTCATTGCTCTTAATCATTATCAATAGCGGTTTCACATATATACACTTTGGAGCTGATACTTCTTTAAGTGATTTAGTTTTTCATATTTTTATTTATTTTGTAAAGATTTTTTAAAAATATTTATTTATTTAATTTCATTTGTTATAATTATTTTTTAATTTGACCATAGAGAGATAGAGAGAGAAAGGGAAAGTGAGAAAGCAAGCCACCAGGTCCAGGACTCGAACCGCAGTCGGCCATGTGGGAATCCAGCACCCTCAACCACCATGCCACCTACCAGCCCCATATTTTTTAAAGATTTATTTAACTTTATCTACTTATTTTAATTTGACCAGAGAGAGAGAGAGAGAGAGAGAGAGGGCAGGGGGAAAAGTGAGAAAACAAGACACCAGGTCTGGGATTCCAACCATC